TTGTTCTGCAGAAATGTCTTGAACCGGACTTTTAGTTAATCAAATGTGAAGCACAGACCCCCTGAAACAGATATTTAGGAGACAGCAGTATGTTAACAACAGAGGTTGTCTTGTAATAGTTTGAGCAGAGCTGCCCATTCCCAACGAAGGAACTCTTTGTCTAAGGTGCTTGTCAGACTCACCAGGGAAACTTCAAAAGCTATATCAAAGTCTAAGCCTCCAGTTGAGGATATAGTGATGCATAAGGCCTGCAGTCTGGGAAACCATGGGCCAATTAAACCTCTTTTTTTTTTTTTAATAAACTACCCAGTCTCGGATAGTTCTTTATAGCAATTCAAGAACAGACTAATACATTTTCCAAGCGATTTTCTGATACGAAATCACCCTTCCAGCTACTCTGATCCAAGAAATGGGCTGCCCTTGGTAGAAGATGTGAGTTCTGTGCAGTAGAAAGCCTTTCACCTTGTTCTCATTTAATAAATTGGCATCCTGACATAGATTAGTCTTTTGTGCCAGGTGCCTTTTTTCTTTGGGGTGCTTAAACTTACTGTTCCATCTGTTAAGAGCATTGTTCTGTGCCTAGCCCCTTGGTCCCCAACACCTATCCACACATTTCCCCAGGGAACCCCTACTCATCCCTACATTACAGATTGAGCTCATTTTGCTCAAGAAGTCTTCTTTGATATCCCCACAAGGCACCCCTGAGACCAGGGCCTCAGGTCTCTGGATCCCCAGGTCAGAGTTGTTTCTATTTCACTATGCTGAGGTTCTGAGTCGATGTCATACAGGTCGGGGACACAGCTTTGTTCCAATCTGGGCAGCATGGTGCCTTCTGGGCTCTCACAATCACTGTCAAACCTAGACACTGCATGTGACATGAAGTCCCTTGGGGCGCCGTAATGACTTAGAGAGCGTGTGGTGTGATGAAGGAGCTCTGCATGGAGAATCTAGACCTTTTGGTCAGATTGATTCCATTGCTGCACCAGGGCCTTTGTATTGGCTGTTTTCTCTATCTGAGAGTGCTTTTCCCCCAGATATGTGTCTTATGCCTTCACTCCATTTACTTCACAGAGAAACATTTTCTGGCCTCCTTGTCAAATTTGTCACTTCTTCTCCTTTTTACTCCCTATCCCTTCATTCTGGATTTCTTCCTAGTAAGTATCACCATCTCACATTAGGTTGTTTATCACAGTCTCATGACAGTATGACAAATGTAAGTTCCATGAGGGCAGGGACTTTGTGCTGAATAATCTGATATTCTCATCTCACAGAGTGGTGTCTGATAAATAGAAATCAATAAACTTTTACTGAATGAATAAATGAATGGATGGTCTTTGCCTTTTTTCTTATTTAGAGTTCTTAGACAAGTCACATCACCTCTCCAAGCTTTGGTTTTTTCCATCAATGGAGGTATGGTGGGGAGAGGATAAGGAGAGGTTTACCCTGGATTATGTCCAAGGTCTCTCCAGCTCCAACAAATACTTCTAAATGCCAGGAATATTTAGACCTTTGCTCTCTTCTTGATGTCATTCAATGATTCCTTGGTCTTCTCTGAATAGGAATATCCTGATTATGAATCATCACCATAAGAAAGCACAAAGAAAGATGTGCGTGTGTGTGTGTGTGTGTGTGTGCGCGCGCGTGTGTAAGTGAAGCTGAAAGGGAACTCAGGGCCCCAAAGCCCCGGTGTCAGGCTACCTGCCACTGGAATATCAGGTGTTCCATTCACAGAGGCTATGTTACCTGTCAGCCTCAGAACTCTAACCCCAGAGAGCAGAGACTATGTCCCCTCCTCAACTTGAGGGCTTTGCCGCTTAGGATATAACTGAGGATAAGCTTGACAATGAAAGACCTCTGAGAGGATCAATGTAACTACCAATCAAACCATGTTTGCTGGGATGGGGAGGGTGACTGGAAGCTTAAGGTGGGAGTGGGGGCAGGTGGGGAGTGGTGCAACGTTTTCAGCTTCTTGGAAGTGGCGGATGGATGCAGTCTGGGGAAGACCTCTGAAGATGCTGGGGAATGAGATTTTAAAATAAGGCCATTAACCATAGACCTTGTAAGCAGAGCCCCCAGTGACAGCACAAAATGGAAGGGTAAAAATGCTGAGTGGACTTAACCACGAGTTAAATCTGAAGCTGCTTTAGAAAGCAGTGGCCTGTGGAGCAACCACACAGAACATTAAAGAATCAGAGGGAGTGAGAAGATAGTTACTGGACACTTATGTCTTTTAATGTTAATGTCTTTTTTTTTTGAGACGGAGTTTAGCTCTTGTTACCCAGGCTGGAGTGCAATGGCGTGATCTTGGCTCACCGCAACCTCTGCCTCCTGGGTGTTCTGCTGGCCTTCAAGTCCTGGTTCCATCTGTTCTAGCTACACATCATACTTTCTGCAGTCAAGTCGTTCAATTCTTCCTTTAATTACATGGAATATCTCAGTGTCTTTTGAACAAATTCTTCCTTTCTATCTACTTTGACTTAGATTTATGCCTCTGGCCACAAAAACATTTTAGTATTCTCAGACACCATGATAAATTCATGTATAAGTTTTATAGCAGGAAGACCGGAGGAGGAGGTGTGACTCCTTTATTGTTTGACCTATGTGGATGGATGTCTGTCACTTAAAACTGAAAGAATACCAAGGCAGTTAGCTCCTGCAAAAATGATCTGTTGTGGAAAAGTGAACAAAGTTCTGTGGAGTGGCTCACTGTGTGCGAAAGGACTCTGGTGGAGGGAGAATCAGAAGAGCTGATGTCTCTTCTTGTCCCTGCTATGTGGCCTGAAGTACAGCAATTTACCTCTCAGGATCTCAGAGTTCACATAAAGCTGGCCTCAACCCACCAAAACCAGTAAAATGTGAGGCCTGGGTCAGGTCTCAAAGGATCCTCTTGGTCATAAAAATCAAAGACTTTGTCTAAACTGTTAGTGTCCGGACATAAATATTTCTTCCCAAAGAAGACACAGGGACCTATATCTAATGCTGGCTTCATTGTAAACACTATCCTCATCTCTCCTAAATTTTCTTGACAACAGCATAGAAGATAATATGTATATCAATTCCTAAGGCCTCTGTAATAAATTACTACAAACTTTGTGACTTTCAATAACAGAAATGTATTCTCTCATAGTTCTGTAGGACAGAAGTATGAAATCAAGGTGTTGGAGTGGCCACGCTCCCTCTCAAGGCTGCAGGGGAAAACCCATTCTCGCCTCTCACAGCTTCTGGTGGCACTGGGTGTTCCTTGGCTTGTAGCTGCATCACTCCAACCTCTGCTTTTATCTCCACATGGCCTTCCCCTCTCTGTCTCTGTGTCTTCTCTTCCGTCTCTTATAAGGATACTTGTTGTTGGACTTATGGTCCACCCTGATAATCCAGGATAATCTTAACTTAAGATTCTTAACTTCATTACCTCTGCAGAGATCCTCTTTCAAATAAGGCCACATTCACAAGTTTTAAGGATTCAGATGTGAACATATATTCTGGTGGGGGCAGGGAGAACCGTTCAGTTAGGAAAGCATGTGTGAAGATCATGTGAAAAAGCCCTAAAAGAAGCCCATGGCTTAATATATGTTATGGGCACCATCAATATGACCTAAAAGAAGACAGAAAATAAATTATCACCAGCTGAATATTCCCTTCCTCCACTCTGTCATGTTAATAGCCCGCCTGTAGAAAACTCCAGAGTTAAAGAAGTAGCCAGGTAGCTCTTTTTTTGTTGTTGTTTTAAACAAAAGATCTCAAAGTGGGCCATATCGCCCATCTCATTGTTTGCTCCTTCCACATAAGTGCTAATGTGTTTGATTATATTCTGCTCCAAATGCCTCTACAACCACTAATCAGAAATACACAGAGAACTGACTGGATCCAAACAGTTCTTTCCCCATGGCCTCATTCTTCTTGAATTCTAAATGCCTGTTGAAGAGAAGCATCAGAGTGCTTATCTTCTGAAAACAAGCTGGAGAGCAATCACCTTGTCTTTTCAAAGAAGCCATACTGTGCCTGGCTTTCCCATTCCAAAAATAACATAGAAATTCTTAGAGACAGTCATGTGGCAGAGAACCAAGAGTTGGAATGCAAAGCTTTTGTGTTTCTTGTGGAAGGCCTCTTGAGTACTTAAGTAGTTACATTCCATCTTCACAGGAAGCTGAAGAGGGGCAAATGCAGTAAGCAGAGTGCTTAAGGCAGGCCTGGCATTTCTCTTCTGTGAAATGCCGAGTTTGGTCATATCCTGAAGAAGTTAGGGTGTCCTATGAGAAGTGTTGGCACTGCTGTAGTCTGTGAGGCTACCTGCAGGGAATCCATGTCTTCCCAAAAATCTAATCCCCAGCTGCCTAAACTTCCCCAAATTCCCAGCTGAACCCTTTTTTTCCTCCTCACCGCCCTTACTCTGCAGAATCACATGACAGCCCAACATCGTTACTTCACCTAGTGGTAAGTATTCAGATCGATTTTTTCCATTCCCTTTCCTACTGTAGTCTTTCTGTCAGAGGCGTTTGAACCAGAGCAACTCCATCTTGAATAGGGACTGGGTAAAATAAGGTTGAGACCTACTGGGCTGCATTTCCAGGAAGTTAAGCATTCTTAGTCACAGGATGAGATAGAAGATCTGCACAAGATATAGCTCATGGGGTGGGGTGGGGGAGGGCAGGGCGTAGAAAAAGAAAAAAATATTAAGAAAAATAAGATATAGTTCACAAAGACCATACTGATGAAATAGCATGAGGTAAAGAAGCCGGCCTAAACCCACCAAAACTATGATGGCAATGAAAGTGACCTCTGGCCCTCCTCACTGCTCATTCTACACTAGTTATAGCATGCTAAAAGACTTTCCCACCAGCGTCAGGACACTTTACAAGTGCCATGGCAATGTCAGGAAGTTATCCTATATGGTCCAAAATGGGGAGGAACCCTCAGTTCCAGGAATTGCCCACCCCTTTCCTGGAAAATCCATGAATAATCCATTCCTTGTTTAGCATATAAACAAGAAATAACTATAAGTATTAACAGTGGAAAAGCCCAAGCTGCTACTCTGCCAATGGAGTAAACATTCTTTATTCTTTTGCTTTCTTAATAAATTTGTTTGCACTTTACTCTATGGATTCTCCTCAGGTTCTTTCTTGTGTGAGATCCAAGAACCCTCTCTTAGGGTCTAGATTTTCCAGTCTTCTTTCTGGTAACATCTTCCTGGTGACCATGAAGGGACAACACTGAAGAGACCCTTGACCCGGAGGAAATAGACTACAGCACCAACTGGCCAACTTCGGGTAACTGTTGGGGTACGTTTTACCCAGGTAAAGGATGGAATTGGGTTAGATGCCCAACTTAGAGGAGTTAGAGCTGCTCCTAAGACAGTGCGGGTTAAAGGACCCTCTTGATAAAAGGTAAGGATGCTTGACCGAACTCTGGTTCGACGCCTAACTTAGGAAAGTTAGAGTTCTTTCTATGATTTAGGGGGTTAGAGGCCCCTGTCAGTAAAGTGCCCCTTGGTTAAAAATGGAATTGGCATTACAGGATGTTAGCCACTCTTCTCTTTGGATTAATTTGCCTTGCACTCTTTGCTGATGGCTGTGCATGACAGGAGTAGGCATGTACAGGACATAAGAGTCTTTTCCTCTCCAAAAAGGGGAACTTGAGAGCTGACAGAGCTGCTGGAAAAGATCCCTTCACAACTGATGAGCAGCCACCTAGACTTTAGATTCAGCGTCGCTGCAATGGGTCTTTCTCCGGCAACCTGAGTTCTTCACCTCCCCACCCTGCTGCAGACACTGCTTTTCTCCCTTTCTCTCCTTTCCCTTTCCTATCTTCTCTGTTATTCAGGGTGACCATCTTGCCCAGAGACCACATGTTGAAACTCCTGGTCAGAGGTTGGATGAAAGATGACAGGGTCCATCCAGGAGCAAGTTTGAGCCTTGCCAGTTCCATTTTGGGTGCTGAGCGGAGTGGCTACTGTAGCGAACCTGGTATACTTTGTGCTATAAATTTGTCTTTCTGTATCGCTCTGTCCTAAAGAGGAGTACCTTAGAATAAAACATGGGCTTAGGACCTCAGTAACAAACTTTGCTGCAGGTCCCTGAAACAAAAAAAAAAAAGCTGGATGAAGTTTCCCTCTCATCTCGTTTCATATCCTTGGGAGCTTGACCTTGTAACCACATGGTGGTATTTTCTCCTGGTCACCACCATCCAGCTGACAAGAAACTTGGAATTCATGTCGTAGTTTGCCCTAAAAATTATCTTGATCATTTAGAAGGCTTTGCGAGCTCTAGACTCCACCTAGGAAAAACAATGGAAACCGCCCAGTGATGTGGCTTAGTGGCTAAGGCTTTGTCTTTTCACAATGACAGCCTGAGTTCAGGGTTCAATTCCTGGCTTAGGGGATGAGTTCTTTCTGGTTTGATGTCTGTGTGATCTTTACCTTTTGTTGGTTCTCTTCTCGTCCACAAACTGTCTGAAATTTTCCTTTCTCTGTGCACCTGGGAGATTACCTTTGGTAAAGTTCAAAACCTCGGAAATATTGGCCATTTGGCCTGGACAAAGTCAGGTAATAAGAGATTTAAAAGAATTTTTTTTTTAGAGTGCTGTGTTTAAAAGTCAGCTTGATTAAAAGTGGATATTCAAGCTGTAACAGCCTGGATCTCCTTGGAAAAAAACAGAGGAAGCTCCACAGACCTCGTTTTGAGGAAAACCTCTGTTTTTCTCATGGAACCTCAGAAATTGAAAGCAGACAGATCCCTCTCAAATCTAAGGCTCTGTTCTGTTTTGCCCTGCATTATCTGATGGTTTTGACTTTTGGGGATTTCAGAAATTGCTTCACATTATGAGAGAAGTCTGTTGTGTAATAACTAAGTAGGAAATATACTTTTGGGGATAGCTAATGGCAATTATGGGGGAATGCAAGGTTCTTTCATGTTTGGATTAAAGAATCATGCTCCTGGCCACCTGGAAAGTAAAGAAATGTCCCCACCCTGCACTGAGAGATAACACTCCCATAGGAGATGGGCTGATTCCCCCTTTTTGAAATCCAGGATCTGGTATAAAAATGGGACCCTGAATTGTGGGGGATCTGTTTTGCCTTCCAGCTATGCCTGCATATTAGGCCCTAGAAACTGCGTGCCTTTTTTTTTTTTTTTTTTTTTTTTTTTTGAGACGGAGTTTCACTCATGTTACCCAGGCTGGAGTGCAATGGCGCGATCTCGGCTCACCGCAACCTCCGCCTCCCGGGTTCAGGCAATTTTCCTGCCTCAGCCTCCTGAGTAGCTGGGATTACAGGCATGTGCCACCATGCCCAGCTAATTTTTTGTATTTTTAGTGGAGATGGGGTTTCACCATGTTGACCAGGATGGTCTCGATCTCTTGACCTCGTGATCCACCCGCCTCGACCTCCCAAAGTGCTGGGATTACAGGCTTGAGCCACCGCGCCCGGCCGAAACTGTGTGCTTTAAAGAGAAAGATAAAAACTGGCAAATGAAAAATCTTACAAGTATTGGATCTTCTTCTGTGGATTTACATGTGTTGCGTGTGTGATGTTTATATAGGAAAGAACTCTGATTAATTAGCTTAAAGGTAATAAGCACTGAAATCAAATATTTTGTCCAAAAAATAAAAAAAGAAATGCCTTCACATGACTTTAGTAAGCTTTGGAAAATAAAGACAATTTTAAGAATTATTGGTTAAAAATAAAAAAGACATTTGGTATAAATTAGGCAGGGTGCTAAATGCTTTAGGGTCATAAATTGCTTCTTTGACTTTTGAAAATTGTTCATCTTATCTACTTTGGAGCCATTAGATTCTAGGTAAGGCCTGGGGACATGTGGAGTTAGCCATGCCCCCTAGCTATGCTGGAAAGAGTCAGATCTTACCTACATTTCTGTCTGGTGTCCTAGACTCCACATCTAATACATAATTAAAATCCCTTACTTAACCAAGGTTTTCACTGAAAGTAAAAGTTGCTAAGAGCTAACATTGTAACATGTAATCGAAGACTATCAAAGAAACCGTTTGACATGCAGATTGTATAAGGAAAGCAAAATGGGCTCCTGGTGAAAGATTATAAGAAGTCATGGAGATATGATTTTTTTTTTGGCCTACATTAAAGGGTTAAAGGATTGTTTTAAGTTAAATAGGATATAACTGAAGGCTTAAGCAGGTTGTGGAAGGTTCATGAAAAATTAATCTTGTGAAAGAAATTCTGTGTGTGAACATTGGCTCAAGTTAAAGGTATTCAATTTTTCTGTAAATTGAACATTGGAATAAAAGCACAGCAGGTTTTTCTTAGAGCACTAATCTGTTCTTTCACAAAAATTGTAAAGGGTTATAAAAAGTTTTTAGTAATCTTATCTGATGGTCAAACTGATTAAAATTAGATAGATGAGTCCATGAGGTTTTTATGAAGAACTTTTAACATTAATAGTAAACTAATCTGAAGGTGAAATTTTGCTTTTTCTCTTGAACAAGATTTTCATGTAATATTTTTTAAAACTAAATATTTGTGTTTGCCTTTTAAATAAACTATAGGAAAAATAAGAAGAAAAGAGACAAATTCAGATGGCTCATGCTGTCTTTACTGGGTCCCATTTAGAAGGCTGGTTCTCTCCTCTCTCAGTGAGTATGAGCTTTTATCTTTTTAAAATATTTGAGCTATCATTTTGGCTAAATGAATAACTTATGGTGACCTGGAATTCTATTTTGTAATATTAAGCATTTTAAACCTTTGATATTTGACAAACTTTCCAAAATCAACTAATAAATTATGTCTTTTTTCTGACCTAATTAACCTTTTAGATATTAGGTCTCTTAAAGGCCAAAAATCACATATTTGGCTTATTTGATATAAAAATTATACAGAAAGCCGTTTCAAATATGAAACGGCATTTGGCTTTCTTTGGGTTATATTTGCATAAATATGTTATTGGTTTGTGTTCCAAAATTATGGGAAACTCCTATAATTCTGACATGACTTAATATACATTATCAGTAATAATTATAATTGTTATGTTAAATTATTGTGTGCCACAGAGGTAACAAATTTCCTTGTCAGTTGTGTCTTTGACTATGGATGCCCTAAAACTTTTCATCGCCCATAGACAATTGTCTTGTTTTGGTCCTCTTTAGGTGAGTTTTTAGTCAACTATAGGACTTTGACAGGTGCTCTAGAATAAAGGTTTCTGATAACTTTGGAGACTGTGGCATTAGAATAAAGGAAAAAGCCTCAGACTCTCATGGAGAGCAGAATGTATACAAATATCAACCAGGACAGGATTTGCCACGTGGACTGAACTAATAGAAGACTGAAGTAATATTTTTGACTTTTTGCTTAAAATGTTGCTGATCCTTTGTTTTGTTACTCAGAGCCAAGAAAATTTTTGAGCTATTTACAGCTTTTAACATTTGAGGAAAGTATACTCCTGTGAACAAAATTTGGAGCATACAGGTATTGATTGACTTACGACCTATACAACTTACGACCATTCAACTTTACGACCACAATCGCTAGCCACGACTGCCCTGCATCTGGCAGCACGAACGTTGCCCAGCTGGGCCTACGACAGTGTGGACCAGCTTCCAGCAGCACTACCATCTCTGCGTGCACCATTTCAACTGTACATATAGCCTACTCAACTTACGACCAAATCGTGTTACGACCAGTCTGCTGGTCCCAATCGTGGTCGTAAGTCGAGCACTAGCTGTATTTGTTTCTCTCTACCTTATTTCTCCAGAATTTGGAAACTATTTGAGAGTATTGTTAATTTATGGCAATATAGTTTTGCATAATTGCAATCAGAATCTGTTTTCTTTGTAACAGGACACAATTGGAGATAATGATTATTTTCCCAAGGCTTTGACTGTAAGGGTGTGCTTTCCTTTAAGGAATCAAACTTGACTTACAGAGCCAATAAAAGTCTCTTGGGAAAACTGGCCTCATACCTTATCTACACAGTTTCTGTACCGGGTTCCTGTGTTAAGTAAAGAATCTCACTTTCTAACAGGCCCAGGAGCCCTAAGTTATCTTGGAACCTCAAGAGGAGAGGAATTCACTCAACTCGTAAGTATTGGAGGGTATGAACCCATGGCTGGGCTTGGCTTTAAAAAAGTCTTATCAGAGATCCCCTATAGAATAGTTTCATCAAAGCCACTTTAAAAGCCTATATGAAAAATAATTATTCTTGCTGCACTTTATACAAATAATCAGGCCAAGTATAAGACTAAAGCTTATTTTTGCAAACAAATCAGTCCCATTATGAATTGTGTTTAGAAAAAATGGGAAACTAGAGAGAGAAAAAAATTGTTTCAAGAACACTATGGTACACTTATTATTAGATTCTAGTCTCATCAGTTGTTTTTAAGTTTTTTTTCTGCAATTTAGACTAATTCTGCTTAGTCTCGTGAACCAACCAGTGATCTCTGGCTGCTGCTCAGAAGAAACAAGAGGAATGAGTAATGAAAAACTCTGGGTCAGTATTTTAATTCTGAACCCGTATTGGAATCAGCTAGCAATCCCATATCGGCTTGGTTTCAACAGTTTCCCAGTTCACAGAAAGCCTTCTTATTTAGTTTACTGGGGATAATTTTACTTATTTTGCTTTACTGTTGTAGAATATATTGCTATTGAACTCTGGATAGGAATGCAGGATCAGCTTACTCAATGTTTTCTTAAACTGAGCACTTATTAATCTTCTAGGTATCACCTTTCGTCAGAACTCAGTTATGAATTGTCCTTGCCACACCAATGCTTTCTGACTATGCTCCACTCTACCCTGAATACATGAGACCCTAATAGTTAGCCAGGAATATCAACCTAAAGAAGTTACAGAAGATGGATTTTCATCTCTCTACAACCCTTAGGATTAAGGGTTCCCTTCTAAATGGAAGGGGGAAAAATATCAGAGGCATTTGAGCCAGAGCAACTCCATCTTGAATAGGTGCTGGATAAAATAAGGCTGCATTCCCAGGAGGTTAGGTATTCTTCCTCACAGGATGAAATGAGACGTCAGCATAAGATACAGGTCATAAAGACCTTGCTGACATAACAGCATGCAATAAAAAAGCCAGCCCAAAACCACCAAAACCAAGATGGCAATGAAAATAAACTCTGGTCATCCTCACTGCTCATTATATGCTAATATAAACATTAGCATGCTAAAAGACACTCCCACCCGTACCATGACAGGTTACAAGTGTGATGGCAACTTCAGGAAGTTATCTGTATGGTCTAGAAGAGGGAGAAACCCTGAGTTCCAGGAATTGCCCACCCCTTTCCTGGGAACTCATGAATAATCTACCCCTTGTTTAGCATATAATCAAGAAATAACTATAATTATTAACAGTGGAGCAGAACAAGTTGCTGCTCTGCCTGTGGAGTAGCCATTCTATTCCCTTACTTTCTTAATGAACTCACTTTCACTTTATGGATTCACCTCAAATTGTTGTGGTAGTCTGGAACCGAACCCTCAATATCTTCAAGGGATGCCTGTATCTTGAAGGTCGTGCCTACAGATGGATTTTTTAATGTGCCAGAATTTTCATTTGCTCAAACTGTGTTTTTTCTTCAAACTTGGTGGTTTTGTGAAGTCACCACAATAAAAATGTGTATGTGATGGGTCCATGCAGAGAGCTGAGAAAAGTCATTTACAGATCCCCTTGCACAACCCAAAGCTCCTGACTACCCAAAGCACGAAGAATGGGTCCCATGTGAAAGAGAGCTGCTTTAAGGGGGCCAAGTGGAACCAACAATGTGATTCCCATGCTCCTGCGCAGGCCGGGATGGGAGCCATTGCATTTGCTGGTAGCCAGTTGTATGCCCTTTGATTTGATCCAGTATCTGTTGTAGAAGAGGCAATGTCCCCTTTAAGACCCTCCTTTCAACACTTGGAAGGCCCAAAGACAAGTTAATACTTGTTGATCAGTCTTCTCCAGCCAGGCAATTTAAGATCAGGGTCCTTTCAAGAAGATGTTCCACTTCAATTGTTTCTGGTCCCTAAAGAACCTTTTGCTTCAGATCCTTTTGGTAATGGATGGTGTCTTTTCATTCTCCCTGCACTGCCCGGAGCCCGATATGAGATGGAGGATCAGGCCCTTGAAAGTGTGCAGGGCAGAACAAAATGCCCATATCTAGCCTCACGTTGAACTTTTCTTAATGACTACTGATCTGCAAAACGCTGATTAAACAAAATTAGAAAACAAAAAAAAAGTTCTCTGTTCTGAATTTTGCATGAAAACATTTTTGTTCACATTATTGAAGGTGGCAGAAGAAAAATATTGCTATGGTTTTCCACTCCCATAAACATATCTGCTCTGGTTCCAAATCAGAAATGCTTTTCTCTTATCACTTCCGCTGCTGGGAAGATAACAAAGCAATTTAGGGCCTACTAGAGAAAGTAGACTTGACCTTGGCACAAATCTCTTCGTCAAGAGACACAGAGGCTGAGCTTTCTCTGAGCAGTGTCTTTGAATATCTTAGTTGACAGTATGATCAAAGCGTTGCAAGACTGCCAGTTCCAAGACAACTGTGGGATTCAGGGTGTTTGCCTCACAGACTGTGCATGAGTGTGGGCCAATACAATGTGCAGGAAAGTGAACTAGCTCACAAAAGCTGAATTTAAGGCTTGCAAGACCCAGGGAAGGGATCTAGGTAAGGAGTAGGCACAGCATTTCATAGACAAGTCCCTGAGGCAAAGTGAGGTACTTCTTGTCAAAGGTGTTGCTGTGGAATATAACAGACAGGGAGTGTTGCACTGTTTGCAATCCACCTGATGACCTAAAACCTTGTCTTTGAACAATGTCTGGTTGTCTGGGAGCTATGTACCAGGACTGCACTCTCCTGGCCACTCCTGGCCATTCCTTAATTACCTTTACATCCAGGTTACTCCTTTGAGGACACATCCAGAGCAAACTTCTTGAAACCACCTACTGTATTGTTTTTATTGCAGGAGTGATTTTGAAGGTATTGTCCCTTTTACGTCACGTAAGGGCCTCCTGGGAGCAATAAGAACAGAAATTCTGGGAAAGGTTCTACTTCTGGATAGCTGAGTTTTTTTAAATTTTATTTTAATGACTGTGTGGTTCTTGGTATTGATGCCATTGTTTACTTTGGTTTCAGCTGCTGGGAAACTCAGAGTCAAACCTGAATCCTACTACTGCAAAGAGCACAGGACCCTCAGGCAAACATTGTATATACCCAAGTGGTCCCTGGCGCCACCTTCATTTACTGCACCAGGTTTTCTTCCTTGTGATGATGTTCTCTCTCCCTCTCTTTTTTTTTTCAATCCTGTTTTACTCTGCACATTTCTGCAAGCCACAAAACTACTCCTTGAAGTATGGATAACATATAAACAAAGTGAACAAACAAATCAGACAGGTAATTGATAGAAATAACTTGTTTTAAAATACTTTTACCTCCTTTCTGGAGCTGGGAAAAGAGTAATCTTGCCTTGTCTGTCTTTAAATGACTGTGTTTGCAAACTAACATCTGCTAGGTTGAGTGAAGAACGTGTTTTTAAGTGACCATTGGTATTTTTAATTTCTGATGAAGGTGACTATTGGCCTTCTTCCAAATGATGTGCCATGAAGAACTTCTACTGAGTTCTACAAGAGCATTCTGGGAGTGTTTCTCAAGACAAAGCTGACTTCTAGGTAGCTATGGGGAGTGCCCGCAAGCCTGGGCTGCAGTGAAAGTCAGCAGGATGGACTGGAAGAGCCAGAAGTCTGTGTGGGAGGTATCAGCCCCTTCCTGCTGCTTCCTTCCCTTGGTTGAGGTAAATGCTCCACTTCTTTCTCTGGGCCTCAGTTTTCTCATCAGAAGAATGAGAAGAGATGCTTACTGGTTAGGTCTGCTTAGGAAGAGAGAAAGACAAGTATAGAACTTGCCCTGGAAGAGCAACCCAAGCCTAGCTGACCCACATGGAAGAGCAGCTCTCCCTACTTCCAAATCTTTCCCTTTCTTCCTTTCTTGCTTGCTTTCTTGCTTTCCTTCCTTCCTTCCCTGCTTCCTTCTTTCTTTTTCTTTCTTTCTCTTTCCTTTCTTCCTTCCTTTCTTTCTTTCTCTTTCTCTCTTTCCTTTCTTTCCTTTCCTTCCTTCCTTCCTTCTCTCCCTCCCTCCCTCCCTCTCTTCCTTCCTTTCTTTCTTTTTTCTTTCTTCTTTCCTTCCTTCCTTCCTTCCTCTCTTTCTTTCTTTCTTTCTTTCTTTCTTTCTTTCTTTCTTTCTTTCTTTCTTTCTTTCTTTCTCTTTCTTTTTCTTTCTTTCTTGATGGAGTCTTGCTCTGTTGCCCAGTATCCATTCAACTGTGGATGAACATCTGGGCTGTTCTCACGTTTTGGCTATTATGAATAATGCTGCTATGAACCCAATGGGTGTACAACTATCTGTTTGAATCTCGTTTTCAATTTTTTGGGATAGATGCCTAGAAATTAAATTGCAGGACCATGAACATTGTTGTTCTTGTTGTTGTTTTTCTGAGATGGAGTCTTACTCTAGCCCAGGCTACAGTGCAGTGGCATGATCTCGGCTCACTACAACCTCCGCCTCCTGGGTTCAAGCTATTCTCCTGCCTCAGCCTCCCAAGTAGCTGAGATTGTAGGTGTGTGCCATCACACCTGGCTAATTTTTTGTATTTTTGGTAGAGACAGGTTTTCATCATGTTGGGCAAGCTGGTCTCGAACTCCTGACCTCAAGTAATCTGCCCACCTCGGCCTCCCAAAGTGCTGGGATTATAGGTGTGAGCCACTGCGCCTGGCCCCATGAACATTTTATAAAATGTTTTTATTGCTGAAAATCTTTTTCAGCCACCAGAGTAGAGAGGACAGGAAAAAAGTCTCATGTACGCATCACCCAGCTTCGACCATTACCAACTGATGGCCAAACTTGTTCCCTCCATACTCTACTCCTTCCACCACTAGAGCTCTTTAAAGCAAACTGAAAACATCATCATCATTTCACTCATAAATATTTGAAAGTCTAATTGTAGCAGAAATGATTTAGATGCTTCTTAAAGAGTAAGAAGCCTAATTGAGTGCCTAATTATTAAACACTGATATGGTTAAATACTCATTGAATAATTAGTCATCATTCTTTGAAACTATGTTTAAAATTGCAGCCTTTTCAATAAATGTTTTATTATCTTCAAACATGCTACAGGCTAGAGAAAACGGAACAAAGAATCCCAATGTGCCGTCACCCAGCTTCAAATTCTAGCCATAGCAAAATAATATTCTCTTTAAAAATGTAAGCGCTAGGTTGCTCAAATGATACGATGACACTTTATTCCTCTGTAGGAGAGGACAGGGACTGGAATGGAAGTGACAACAGGGAGAACCTTTTAATTCTGGAAAGGTGTATTACTCACCACTAAAAGCACGTATTTTAAAATGACTGAATCTTTGGCATAAATGGTCATAAATATCGGTCAGAGTTCTCAGCCACAATGTGAGTTATGGTTTATCTGAGCTCACCTGTCTTTCCTGTCTAGCCCAAGTCTGGGTGACTTTCAGCTTTCCCAAGCTAGATAGTTATTTACAGAAAGAACAAGTTGACATTAAACTAAAGAGAGTGACTCAGAAGTCATCTCTCCTTTTGTCATAAGCACAGAAAATGTGCAGTCACAAATTGATGTTGTACAGATAGATGTCCAACTTTTTATTTAATTAGGAATTTGTACAAATAATTTTATAGAGAGAGGCATTTCCCAGTTACTTTGTCAATGATTTCGTCCCTTGGCTTTTATTGCAGAGCAAATCACTCCCAAAATTTAGTGCCTTAGAACTCTTTCATCATCATGATGAAATAGTTTTCCTTGTTAGATATCAAAACCTATTTATATGTCATTAATTCTAGGCCATGTTATTATCTTTGAAGTGAGGCTGCCTCTAGCAATCTATGACATTGTATAATTTGTTGTTCACCAACAATCGTCATGACATTTGTTGCTGCCTTGACAAAACTGAATTTCATCATGGCTGTTCACATTATCATAACTTCAATTCAATTGTGTGCATTATTATATGTATGTGCCGCGTTAAGCAATCTTCAAAAAGATTACAGTACAATTCTTCATGGAAATGAGAAGTTATTGTGTATCTAGAAAAGCGCTGAAACAGATCAGTTGGGTAGAAAATTGTTATTTGTGAAACAAATGTTCGTTGTTGGAGAAATGACCTTGATTAAATAGATATTTCCCTTGCAGAGTTTTGCTTTATGAGACCCAAGAAAGAATTAGATGACATTGTGTTACATTTTATAACTGAGATGCATACAAAAGAATTGCCCAACACATACTAAGATACTTCTCAAAATGGGAGTCAGAGCTTGACCAAAAAAAATCTGTAATCAATAGTTCAGCATCGAGAAATGCTACATCACAAATGCTCCTGATGGCTGCAGGTAACAGAAAACTTAAAATAACATCAATTCAACAAGCTGTAAGTTCATTTTTCAGTGACATAAAAGAATTTCAGAGGTATCCTGTACAGGATTGGCAGATAGCTTCACAAAGTTATTGGGGATGTAGGTTTATTTTATGTTGCTGCTCTGCTATTCTCTACACACGACTCCACCTCATGGTGTAACATCACTGCTTCAGATCCAGTCATCATGTCCACATTCCAGATAGCTGATTGATGAAGTAATGAAGAGAGAGAAAGGGGTAGATACCAACTGACTTTTTAGAGAACTTCCCAGAAGTTGTCACACAATATCTACTCTAATTCATTGATCAGAACTCCTAGTTATAAGGATTGCTAATAAATGGATTCTTTATTCAGGTAGCCATGTGTATTAGTCTGTTCTCATGCTGCTAACAGGGACAAACCTCAGACTGGATAATTTATAAAGAAAAGAGGTTTAATGGACTCACTGCTCCACATGGCTGGGGAGGCCTCACAATCATGGCTGAAGGCAAATGAGGAGCAAAGTCACATCTTACATGGCAGCAGGCAAGAGAGCATGCGTAGGGGAACTCCTCTTTATAAAACCATCAAATCTCATGAGACTTATTTACTTTCAAGAGAAGAGCACAGGAAAGACCTGCCCCCATGATTCAATTACCCCCCACTGGGTCCCTCCATGACAAGTGGGGATTATTACAATTCAAGGTGAGATTTGGGTCAGGACACAGAGCCAAACCATATTATCATGAACCTAACTAAAAATCAGAAGTTCCTGCCGGGCAAGGTGGTTCACACCTGTAATCCCAGCACTTTGGGAGGCTGAGGCGGGTGGATTACTTGAGGTCAGAAGTTCAAGACCAGCCTGACCAATATGATGAAACCCCATTTCTACTAAAATTACAAAAATTTGCTGGATGTGGTGACGTGCGCCTGTAGTCCCAGCTACTCAGGAGGCTGAGACAGGAAAATCGCTTGAACCCAGAATACGGAGGTTGCAGTGAGCCAAGATTATGCCACTGCAGTCCAGCCTACGCGACAGAGCAAGACTCCATCTTAAAAAAAAAAAAAAAAAAATCCGAAGTTCCATTACTGAAGAAGAATAGAAGAATGGGTTTGGAAAGCCAGCAGTCTCAACCACATGAAAGTTTTCAAGTTTATTGGTACAAAACTATAGCAGTCTTTTTATTTTTAAAATCTCAATTGCCTCAGTAATTATTTTTAATACTTTGGTCCTAATATTTTATATTAGTGTCCTTTATGTCTTTTCTTGGTCAGTCAGGCTAGCATTTTGTCTGTTTCATATTTTTTGTCAAAGTAACACATTTTAGTATTGTTAATCTTCTTTATTAATTCTTTCTGGTTTTTGCATTTTTCCTTTATTATTTCATTTTATTTGCTTACTTTAAGTTATTCTGTAGTTCCTCTAGCTTCTTGAATTGGATACATAACTCATTTATTTTCAACCTTGTTTTTCAAAAATAACAAGGAATTAGACTATGAAATAATGAAAAAATATATATTTGGTCTCTGTCTCCTGGTTCCTGGTACAGAGCTCCTAAGCCTTTGGAATTTCCTGGGTGATAGGAGTATCTTTTGTTCTAGTGAAGTGACTCTTAGTGAGCTCTTGGATGGCAGCTGGTCACCAGAAAAACCAAGCATAATTAGAAGCATGGAACTTTCAGCCCCAACCCCCATCCTCCAGGAAGGAAAGAGGGGATGGAGACTGAGTTAATAGTCATGCCTACCTGATAAAACCGCTGTAAATATCCCTGAATGGGATTCTGAGAGCTTCTAAGTTTTGGAACACGTGGAGGTGCCTGGAGGATGGAGCAGCCAGAGAAGATATGGAAGATCCACACCCGTTCCCACCTGCCTTGCCCTATGCATCTCCAGAAGACACCTGACTATCCATCTGCATCCTTTGTAATATCCTTTATATAAATGGGTAAATGTAAGTACAGTGTTTCCCTCGATTCTGTGAGCTGCTCTTGCAAACTAATTGCACTTAAAGACAAGGTCATGGTCGCCTTGACATGACCAATGACCAAATGACCATGACCCATGGTCAAATATGACCTGGGACTTGTAACTGGCATCTGAAGGGGGGACAGCGTTGTGAGAGTGAGCCTTTAACCTGTGGGATCTGACACTATCTCCAGGTAAGTAGTGTCAGAATTTAATTACACTGTAGGTCACTCAACAATGAAGAATTGATTGTTGTTGGGGAGAAATCCCTACACATTTTATTGATTAGAGATGAAGTATCCTGTATTGAATGTATTGGGAGTTAGAGTAGGAAAAATGGTTTGGTTTTCTCCTATCTCAACAACTATATATACTGTTTTAGAGGCAATAAGTTTATATATACTACCTTCCTAATCACTTAGTTCTACATACTATGTAATTCCCAGTGATTTCCTCCTAAACTCAAAAAAGTTATTCAAGAGATCATTTTTAAAGTTCCCAATACATGTGTGATTTTAAAATGTCTTTCTAATTTAATTCCATCATGATTAGTAAAATGTCATCTGAGCTGAAATATCAGTCCTTTGGAAATATGTTGAAACTTCCTCTGAAAATAGTGAGTGGGCAATC